TGTATACATGTGTGAATTTGTACACGCGTGAGACCCTTGATCCCAATGGGTCCCTCGCACCTGATCGGACGCTCATTATTTGCCAACTCGCCCATTCACGCCTCCAAACATGCGACACGTCGATTTACCGGGCTACCAACATTTCGATTTGCGTCGTTTTCGCGAGAGCGGTTCTCGATTTATTTATCTTGGAGAGAAGTTCGCACCAGCCGAGGGGATGGTTTATCATCCTCGTACAGCGGCTCTCCACGGCATCGTATCTCGTTGCTCTGGCATCGGTAAATATATACGAGGTGTTTCGCAAGTCAACATCAAACTCACATCATATATTTTCCCAACATTTAGAAAATACAAATAATTTTCTAAAGATTATTTTCCATTTGAATTGTAATTCCCACGAAATATTTGACGCGACGAGAGAAAATTAATTCTCTTTGCACATTTTTTTTTTTCATTTTATTTCCGAGAAAGCTATTGATTTATATTGCTCAACTTTTAAAAATCATTTTTTATATACAATAAAAAATATTTATCTCTCTTTCTCAATTTCACAAAAGTGCGAGCTCGGACATTAACCGGATCTCATGCAATGCAGTTGTGCGTTTAATACGTACAAGATTAGAAAGTTAGGGACAATCTTGCGCGAATTTATCGCAGTACCTCCACTTTCCAAGTTTGATGCGAATCTTAGCGGCGCACCCCGTATAAGGGAAAACCGTGCCAGGTTGATGCCGCTGGTGCCTGGGCGCAATTGGAGAGCAATCGACTGAACGACACGCCGCAAATCAAACCGTACCCGCGTGTGCGACTCCACCCTCTTCGGGGTTGCGCCCGAGCGTCATTCTCACCCCCGTCCGCTTCATCCCCCTTTGCGTTTTGGTGTTCGCCATCCTTTCGGATGCATCTCTCCTCCGCCGCTCGGTGTCCTCTCAATTCGAGTCGACGCTCCGAGTTCGTTACGCTCGAGCGATTTCGGCAGCTGCTGCTGCGACCGATGCATCACGTCGGCGGGACGTTTCCTCGCGTTGCACGCGCTGCTACTGTTAATTGCGCCGATTGTTTTCGGGCCGGCGATCGTTTGGCGGCGACGAATAGTCATTGGATAAGCCAAAGAGGATTAAACGGAGGAGAAGTTACGCGAGAGTGACAATGCGCCGTGCGCATATATACGACGTGGATTTACGGTTATCCGCGGAAAGAGAAACCGCTCTGCGCAGGAGCGTCTTTTTTTTTTTTTTTTTAACTGACAGTTCCCGGAACAATAGCGGAACTTTTACCGGAAGGTAATTTTTTGCCACATAGTTTCAGTTATTTTAGTAAAAATAAGTTTTAGTTATGTTTTTAAGCTAGTGAAATGTTTGGGGTGACGTTTTATGTGATATATAAAAAACGTATATAATTTTAAACAATTTTAAAATATTTAAATTTTTAATTTTCTAGCCACATTATTGTTATTTAAATTTTATTTTATGACCCGAGTAAATATAATTACATAAAAGATTTTAAGTAAAAAAACAATTATTTAATGTGTATAATAATATATAATTATGCGATTTCCATTATAAAAATATACAATTTAAGAATGCTAAATATCTGTTAAAAAATTAGGATAGTTCTTTCTTTCACCGGACAATGAAACAATTGGCTTTTGAATCTTTGGTAGAAGCTGCATATCAATCTTTTTCGTCAAGATTTTTCTTCTCGAAAATGATGAACGTAATTTCCGACAAAATGGTTAATATCAATTTGTACCTACCCTGTTGTAATTCGCCTTTAAAATTAGCGCATTACAATAACGGTTCGATCATATGTTTAATTCATGTCGGTTAGTTGGAATTCGCGTTTATGCCTGTGTTACGCATCCAATTGCCGATACATCGGTTTTGTTAATCGGCGGGATTAGCCGGCGCTTCTCTCCTTTGTATGCAAGTACGACGCGTTCAATTATTTCCGCGTATAACGTCGCGCTCTCTCTCTCTCTCTCTCTCCTGTGATGCGCGCATTGCATATCCCGTTATTGCTTGATTGAATCGATCGGTTTTAATTTTGCAATTACCGGTACCGTAAATCAAGCTGTCGACATTGCCCCCTATCTTGACCTCTGTTACATCACACGATTCTCCTTAATCTGAACGCCGTATCTCACATGGTTCTTTAAAGATTATAAGGATGATGAATAGCATTTTGTTCTCATTATTATTAATTTTTAAGTCTCTCACATTTTATGTAAATTAAAATTTCAATCCACGCGAATAATATTTATCGATAGATTTGCTTTTCAAGAAAAATAATTATTCAAGATATATATTACAAGTTTATTATATACGATATTAAATGTCGCGATATTATATTAATCATCCGGAATAAAAAAAAAAAAAAAAAAAATACATTATGTTATTATCGGACAATTAAATTGTTTAAAGCGCGCAGATTCGCTCGCGTCAAGTGCATCTTGTTAATCTCATTGTACAATTACTCGTAAATGCTATTCGCCACGACAAACATGAAGCTCGGACCGCGCGTTCGCGAGAGATTAAATCGGCACGGTCGATGTTTGGTGCCGAACTCGTCGATGATTTCCGCGCGTATACACGCCGGATTGACTTACTATTTGCGGCGATGCGCGTTGCGTCATTGTCGCCGTTAATTGAAACGATCGTTTGCAGATCCGCGGTCGATCCCTCTCTGCTCCGGTGACTAAAGCTTCACTCTCCCCCAGGCAGCACACACGTGCGACACGCAGGTGCACGCGATCGGCATTTCGTATTTCCGTCACCGCACTTCGGTTGATCTATGATCTCGCTGAAGCGCGTTTTCGCTCGCTGCTAGCTCGCTCGTCTCTGCTCTCGACGCGAAAAATCACCGAAAAAGTGGCTGTGCCGAACAAATTACAAAGCTGCGCAACAAATATTGATAGAACATTCGCGACGGAAAAGTGGATTTCGAATTTCTTCTTCTTTTTTTTTTTTTTTTTGTAGAACAGTACCAATTCTATTTTTTTATACGATAATTTTGATAATTTTTTGTAAGAATTATGAGCGCATTATGAAATGCATATTATTGTCATATTAAAATAATGTGAGATATTCTTATAAGTATTAAATTCAACTGTGACAGAATCGTCGATATTTAATTATAATCCATGTAAGAATATTCGACATTATTTACGTTGACGTAAAATGTGCATCCAACTTGTTCAGTCAACGATAATAGGAAACGCTTGAAAATTTTCGCCGAGTTTCTTCTCCCATTTTCCGATTCGAAGTTTATCAAGGAATTCGATACGTTTCGAATATCGTCATTAAAATATGTTTCAACAATTCTGAAGTAGGGATACTATAGTCGTCGAACACGGGGACACACACACACACACACACACACACTGCATCCTGGCCATTCGCGCAAACTGCGCGCACCGATATTTCCCATTTTTGCCAATTTATTGAAACGTCCGAATAGCGCGTATCCGATATTTTCAATCGAATAAATTTCGTCGGAAAAAAATTCTCGGCGTGCGCGTTTATTTTAGCCGCACCTGCGATCTCGAGGAGAGTTACTCGCAGTTGCTGCCTCTCCGCTCCAGCGGCAATCTCGTCCTTAACTCGGTCGTGCTCGGCGCGCGAAGCGCTTACTCCGCAAGTACAAATTGACTCTTTTTTTTCTTCTCTCGCGGGACGTGCCTGATTGCTGAAAATGCAAAATAAACGGTAGCGCGGCTGGTTATCCCGCCGACCTCAATCCGGCCCATCTTTTTTTTTTTCTCTCTCTCTCTTTTCTCGAGACACGTGCGCGATGAAACGACGATTTCTCTTTGTTTGCGGATTTATCCTGCCGGAAACTTAATTTCTTCCCTTCCTTTCCTCTTCTCGAAGTCACCTCGCGCCTTATTCGTAATGCCCGATGGAAATAAAGCGCGCTATCGCCGATAAAGAGGCCAGTACCGATAATGTCTTCGAATGTCGATCTATTAAAGCTCTCGCCTCGTTCGAATTCTTGAAAATGCACCGCGAGGCGGGAGGATAAATTAACCGTGACGTTGATCGTTATTGATGAGTATTGCTGTTTAGAAAAATGATGGCGATCGAGTTTACTCAACAGATACGTTTCCGTGCTATAAATATAAGCTTACGCTCTGTTGACGGGCGAAACGAATCTAAACTTGAAATATTTATTATTTATTTGTTGCATTTAGTATACATGTACTTTTAATACTCTTCGCTTATATAAAAGTTTTTCATAAATTTACGAAATTTGTGTTATTTAATCCTGTATATTTGAGTTGTTATACAAATGTCATCTCAAGGGTATATATCGGATGAGGATGGTAAAATATTAATGCGCAAGTTGCGAGAGGCGATGTAGAGGAAGCCGTACACGTATGCACACCTGTACCATCATTTGCGCTTTAAACACAGTGGATAGCTTCGAAACCACTCGTTCCGCCAATAATGGACAACAATAGTGACACAAAACACATACGCGACCGTCGACCATATCGGAAGAAAATACCGGGGTATAGCATGTTCAATATTGCTCGAGCGCGTCTGAAAATTCAACGGTTTTGTTGCCTTTGAAAATGCAACCAACTGCACCGCGCGTCGTAGATATTGTTTTTCCTTCATTTGGCATTATATTATTGCGCTCCATTTTCAAAGAGTCCGATGTTACGAAAGAATATTTACTGTAGAAGATATTTATTAAACATTTTTATTGTTGACGCAAAAAATTTTAAACGTCCGATAATTATTTTTCTCTCTCTTTGTCGAAGAATAAATTAAAATATTTCATCCCCTTTTATATAACGCTCGCATAAGTTCTCGTTTAATTTCTACGAATTTGCAGAAGCTCAGAGAGTATCTTATCTCGTAATGCAAGATACATTATACGAACAAACATTATTTCTCCTGCCCTAATCCATTAGGCGGATTACATCTCTAAGTAGCATAAATTACCTCAGCAAATAAGACAGTCGCCTCAGGTATGCGTCGCTCCTGTTTCAGATGTTTTGAAGCGGTACCACGCGGAAAGATGAAGACTGCGGTCGGTTCACTCCTTCTTCTCCACCTTCTCATCAGCGGTGTCGTCTCAGTCGAATGGAAGCACAGCGCTGTTCTGGACAACAATTTCTTGGTGCTATGGACGCCCGGCGAGAGGGACGTCACATTCGAGATCCAAGTGAAGACCCTCGGTTACGTCGGACTCGGTTTCACGAAGGACGACGGTCGCGTCGGGGCTGACATGGTCATCGGTTGGGTCGATAACAACGGCCAGGTCCACCTTCAGGTGAGTGTCTTTTTTTTTTTTTTTTTTTTTACAGAACATCGAGTAATATCTGGTTTCCTCTCTGCGGTCGACAGTGAACCTTCCTTTCGTTCATTTTGTCTCCGACCGCGTTAAAATATAATACAGATACGCACGAATCTCTCTCGCAGGTTGTAATTATGAGCAAGTATAACGTTTATGATCCGTATAGAATTGCGCTCGAGAGAAGATAGTAATCATTATTCTTCGACGTTTTTGTAACGACGATTGTGTAAAAGTCGCAGCGCCTGAAAAGTTTTTTTTTTTAAATCTAAAAATAAAGATAAGCTTTCTCTGACAAATGTTAACTTTTGCCATTTCTCATTTCTTAAATAATGTCAAAGTTTCATTTATCACGTTTGACAAGGAAACGTTGATACATATCTCTGTTGATTCTGATTATATCGAACGCATTCCATACAGAGAAAGAGAGTGAGAGGTACAAATGGAAATAGTTAGCGTGTAAAGTATTTGCATTAAAGCTCACTGATATTTAAATCAACCGCATCAGCCAGCGTTCCGCTTGTGTACGCAAAGTACCCGGAGGGGGCGAGAGTAATCGAGAATAATTATTTCCGTGCTACTGATCGAGTGGAGTTCCCCTCTTTGAATATTGTAAAGTCCGCCCTGGCACGCCAGCATCGGCGATGGAACGCGCTTAATGGTAGTCATTCGGGAGATAAGTAATGGCTCTCCCGTTTCGATCGGCGCATCGGATAGTTATCAATCATGCCCACTAAAGCCGGCAGCCTGTCATTATGCGTTCTCCTCATTTTGCACGACACTCGGTGAACATCGAGGACTTGATCGCCCGCGGAGGCGATTGCCTTACGTAATTTTTCCGCGAAAATACGGTTCCCGTAACTTGCTCATTATCCTGATGCCGCCCCATCCTCATCGCGACCAAGAATTTCTGCGCGACTATAAAATAAATGCGCTCGCCATTCGTACTACCTGCAGCTAATTACATTGTGTCCATGTGTGTCTCTTTTTTTCTCGTAAAAGAAAGGTGAATATATTACTCCATATATTTAATCTTTAATCTAGCCTTTTGAGATAAAACGATGTTCATTATTTTTTAATTATTGTATGACGTGAGTTTCTCTGCCCGAGATAAGTTCATATACTATATAAGCTCTACGATTGCGTCATCGTAAAAGGAATGTTATGTTTCGCGTTAATGATCACGTAACTTCGCTATTTAATTTCGCGCCTGCAAAATCCGCAAACTTCCCTCGGATATATCATAAACTGTCCGCACCGCGGTTAAATCCAACACCAGCATAATAGTTCGACTTAATACCGTGTGTATGCGTTGGGGGTGGCTCTTTGAATAGCAAGACGTCATTCGGTGAGGGAGAGAGAGTAGAGAGAGAGATTGACGCGACACGGTTAAAGAGAGAGAAAGAGGCGTCGTAATCTAATTTGCGCGATTTCCGCGGGAATTTTCGTGGCGGAGCCACGCGGATTATTCTCGGGCGTTTTTAAATTTAAAACATCGTTAGTCGCGCATCCGGGAACGCCGCAGACCCTCTTCGGGGACCGGACGCGAAAGGGATTACACGCTATCCACCCTTTCATCAGCGCGTTACGTGGCCGTTGACAGTTTCTGGCCCGGTTCTTTACAACATGGCGGGTACGTCGGTTCTTCTTCATCTTTTTCTGTCTTTTTTTTTATCCCGTTTCTTTTTTCTTTTTTTTTTTCCTTTCGCCGTATCTCTTTCGCGAAGCGAGCGAACTGAATCAACGAGAAAAGGGAAGGGCGCCCGTTCGTCGTATCGCAAGCTTTTTACCGCATTTTTACCGACCACGAGACGCGAAACATTCATTTCGCTTCGCCCATTATTCTCCAGTTATCCCGCATAGATTTATCAGCCGGCTGCTACTTTGCGCCGAGCTTTTCGTCGCATATTAGGACGTCAAAGGAACACCTCGCGAGAATGTGCTTCCTCTGTCCATTTTTATTTCGGCGCGCCAGCCGCACAATGCCATCGTGTTATGAATTTTCATAGCGAGATTATATAATACGGTATATCGCATAGATTTTTCTAAAGACCGAAGGGAAGTTATTCAAGCAAAAATATAAAAGAAGTAAGTTGATGTTTTCTCTCATACTATTATTTTGATAATATATTATGATATATGTTATGAGATGCCGTTTTATTTTCTGTTTTATTATCGGTTAAACATTCCCCTGATTATAAAATATGTTGCTAATGGGAAAGGTATGTATATGTAATTATAATTATATGACTAGTATGTAAACTTTGAAATATATAAATTTCATTATATTTTATATTTAATTTATAAAATATTATGAGTCATTATTATGATTATTATAAAAAAATATTTGGCTAATTAAATATGGGCGTAATTAATATTTAATATAAATTTTATAATATGCAAATTTAATTTTCATACGATATTTTACGTATATGAAATATTTTGTCATCTACGAGATTTATAATAATACGATAAAAAAAAAAGTATAACTCGTTCTCATCTGATCTCATTGTTAAAATAGGAAGTCTCATTTTCAGCGAAAACGAATTGCTTATGTTTATGCGATTGCGATTGGACGGTGTCGAGTTTGCCGCATCTACATTATAGAGATTTCTCTCTCGTTTCTTGTAAAGTGGAAAGCAGTCGTAACCGGGAAGATGGGATATAGAAAAGCAATCTTCCACGACGAGTACCGCGAGGATTGACCGAAAGTGGTCAGGCTGATAATGCGTAGATTGGTTCGTACATGTCTCTATGTCAGTGTTTCCCAAATGATGCGATCCAGGCTATTCTGGAATCCTTCATGGAACGAAAACGAGGAAAATAGCTTTTCTTCTTATTCGCTTATTCAAGATTTTATATATTCAGTCTTGATTAATTATTGCAATGCAATTTTTTTCTTATAAAAATAAACCGTCTGGTCAAGATAAAAAAGTAGGTGATAAAAAATTTTTAAAAATCCAATTTTAAAACATCAAAAAAATCTCAATATAATATCACGGTGTTAATTAAAATGTACATTTAGCGAACTGTCAAAATTGTAAAAATATACTCTGGTATCGTTTTTCCACAACCGACATCTAATACGTGATTCGATGTATGAATCGATAAAGCGGAATATACGCGCAAGAGGCAGAAAACAGGAAAATAGAGAAATACTCGGGTTTCTTTCCTCGATGTCGCGTAATTACGGGCTCTATGACGTTCCAAAGGATTCCGTCGTATATATAATAAATTGGGAAACACTGCTTCGCCGTAAATGGAATGGATGGATGAAGAGAGAGAGAGAGAGAGAAGTAGTCGTTTTGCAGATCGCGTCCGTCTCTCGCGTGTCCGCAATTTTTCCGGCAGAGTCGTTGCTCGCTCATGTTCCATAATGCATGCCGCGCAATACTCTCTATGCGATGCAGCCGCGTCGCCGGACGTTCTCATACGTCGTGAAAGAGTCGTGGAGAGCAGCCGATAGAGAAGGCGGACGAGTCTCGAATCGGAAGAAAAAGAGAGAGGCGAAAGAAGCAGAAGAGGGCATCTCTCCAATGGGAGCGAGAAGAGCTTTTTCGTTATGATCGTAATCTTAGAACCAGACTAGCCGCGAGCATCCGGACGACTGTTGCTCTGCTCGATTTCTCACTCTCTGTCCAGCAGCAGCAGCAGCTCGTCCCTCCGGTCGATACGCGACTTTAATTCATCATGCACTCGCGTGGGCGATGGGGAACGACGTCCCGCTGGAATCCGATATGCATTCTCGAGTGTTTGTCCACGTGGTGGACTGGCGTGTAACGAGCAAAGTCGCTCTGATTGCGTATATCATATGCATTACACGCGGGTGTAAAAACAAACGGATTCTATTATAGTTTGCCGAGAAATTTTTCTAGACGAATGCTCGTTGTTGCTTTTTTCTTCCCTGTAAGAGAATCATTTTTTTATTTTCTATATTGTGATTGTAAAAAAATATATATAAGGAAAAACAGTTCGATCAGACGCAGTCGAGATCTCATCTCGAATGAACGCAGGTCTTATTCGACTCGATTATTTTGCATGGCGAATCTCGCCGCAGACCTCGACGATGCGCGTCCAGCGTCTGGCTGTTTGCTGAATAAATGATGCGGCCGGTAATACCGCTACTCGTGAAATTCGTGCTCGTAACCGGAATAACGGACGAGAGGGACAGAGAGAGAGAGAGAGAAAGAGAGAGAGAGAGGACACGGGGAAGAATGAAGAGAGGGATAGGAGAATATGGCAAATAACTGGTTGAATTAATAAAGTCGGCAACAGGGAGATATCGCTAAATCATAGAAGACTCGCGGGATTAACCGTGCGTGTATGTATCTGCGTAAGTGCGTGCGAGCACGAGGGCGAAATAAAGTGCGCGAATTGCGCATTCGGCGTTTTGCACGCGCGCTCGCTCGCTCGCTCGCTTTCGCATAATCCCTCGTTAATGCCCCCGGTAGATTGCATTTTCAACGAGGCCAAATAATTGCATCCAATTGCCGGCGAGATGTTTAATTCGTTACGTTCCTCGCGTATCGTTTTGCGGCCTGTCGAGGATGACGACGCGCAATAATATTCGCGGATATGGCTTTATTAAAATATTTTTGCGCGCGCGCGCAAATTTCCTCCTTCCGTCATTCGCGGGGTGGTCTTTTATCGTCGATTTGTATCTCGTCGCAGCTCTTTCGCTATTTTAATAACGCGGCCTGATGAGACGACGAGAGAGAGAGAGTTAGAGGGAGCGACGGATTAACGCATTCTTCCGCTGTTCTCTTCCGCGAAATGCCGCACGTTATCGCACGAACTTTTCGCGCTCAATTTACCCCAGGCCAGGAGGGTGAGACCTTTTAATATTTTGCATTGTCTCGAAGAGAGCGCGATATCTTATTAAAATAACTGCTGCGCGAAACTTTGCGTTTGTACTCTGTACTTTTGTAGCGAAAGAGGATAAATGCTCGCGTATATATAGTTTTGTACGACGTAATCTA